ATGACAAAACTTGCGGCACGCGAGAGCTAGGGCTGGAAGACTAAACGTGTCGCTTGGACGGCCCTGCAAAGTTCGCAGTGCGGAATTTGAGATGACTTTAGCAAGCACAGCAGATCACACCGGTCCCCACCCGTCCCAGTTTCTCAGGCACCCGGACATTTCTGGCCGCAGCCGCCCGCCGTCTTCTCCCTCTGACGCAGGATCGCCTGCAGAGTATGGACTTTGGATTTGGAATCTGAGGGTTCGAGGGATCACCAACAAGTATCGTCCAGTTGATACCAACCCCAGCGGAGGACGAGCCTAGCCAATGCTTCCATTGCCGCATGCTCTAGCTACGAATCCAAAGTTGCAAGCAAGCCATGCAATACTGGTAAAGCCTGTAGACGGTTCGCGACCAGGGGTGTTGCCTCGGGGCATGCCAGGCCACAACTCGTGCGCGATACTAAACTTCAGCCACTCTAAACGACGCTGCGCTCACTGGTGACTATTGTACTCGTAGCAGCTCTCCCTGAATCCGGGGTCCCTGCCTCGTCGGGCACTGCCTTAATCTCTCAGCTCTGACAGGCTACCCTCACCTTGCATCTGCAGTTAGTGCAACGCTAAGCCGTTCGGCACCACTGCCGAAAACGACAAGGGGAAATCGAGGGGAGGAATAGGCTCATACCTCAGCACTACAATGGTATTCACACGTCTTCGAATTCCGAACTGCGGAGGTACCAAGATGCCCTTGAGCACGCAATGCAGGCTTGCAAGGCCCTGCAAGCAAGGACTTAGTCTAGGATAGCAAACTGCTGGGGCCGGCATCTCCGTCTTCGACCGCCCTTCCTCCCTCCCTGATTTCAGGAGCCCGCCAAGAGCTGCATCGCTTTGAGACCTGAGGCATATCTCGAATTGCGACTTGAAATCGTTCGGCAGAGGCAGCCACCACAGCTGGAAGTTAGATCAACGTTGCGACCATGCGGAGAGTAATGACAGACGAAATCCTGATTTGAGTTGCTACCAGCATAAATCTCCAGCGAAAGCAACTTTGAATCTTTCGTGTTGCTGCTCCGTGTTTGTCGCCTCTGGAGGGACCAACACTCAAGCGGGTTTCAGCTGTGCTGGTGTTGTGCTGGTCCTTAGACAACTTGCTGAAATGAAAGCCTCATTCCAGCACACCTGCCCATCTGGTTGCATCTTTTCTGACATCAGTGGCCAAGTTAAACCTTATGCGTCCGGGTTCCCGTCCTTAAGAGAGCAACCCACTCAAAGGGCGGTGAAGAACCGGCTGTCAACTTTCAATGGGAAAAAACTCACGGAAATCTGAGCCTCAGGAGTCCCAAAGGCAATTCGGGCGCCGCCGGGGGGAAGAAGAAAGCCTCTCATGAGCGCGCAGCGAACCGTATATAAGTCTCCTAGTGATGGCTGAACTGATCGCACGATGGCCATGCAACTCAAAAGCCATCCTATAGACAATGTAAAGCCCATTCCTGCCTCCTTGTTCACCTTCATGAGGCCGTGCCCCATAGTTGCACCCAGCACGGGCTGCCTCAGGAAAATCCACAGCGCAACCACGGCTACTTGGCACCAGATAGATCTTCAGCTTAACGTGATTGTCCCTCTAATCCTCCCTGGGCCTTCAAGCCCCGCTTTGAGATGGTGCCCCTTGAAGTTGATGCAGACCGCTTGGTGTAAATCTTACGCAGACTAAACACTAGCCACTATCACCATCTCACCATCTCACTATCTAGCATCTATCCATCTATCTATCCATCTATCTATAAGAACAATAATGTATCTATATATATATATATGCAGAGGTACTTGCACAGACGCACCGATGCGTGCTCACGAAACTGAAAGTTCCCTAAAGGCGTTAAACGATTTTCACATCATGTCCAGTCACAAACGTGCACAGAAGCTGCACGTGTGCCTGCGAAACCTGTGCGACCTGAAAGTTCCGGCCGCAAGTGCTCCCAGCTGAGCTGTGGACGGTGAGCCCAAGCCCTGGCCTCCACCCAGGCTGGGCGGATGATACCTCGAAGCAGTCGAAGCAAGCCCTCTACGCCTAAACATGCCTGAAAAATGAACGAGTGAAAGCTTAGCGAGCGTGGCGTGCCTGGGATCTCTGCCGAAGCCCAACGCCTTCACGCGTCCATGTGGAAACGTGGCAGGACCCATTTCTCAAGACGGCACTGAGTCTCAGCGTTGCGTTTTTCTTTTAATCTCACAGAGGAACAGCGGAACCTCGTACTTCCGCATGCGGAGTTGCGCCGGTGGTGCCGGAGGGGCCTCTCGCCGACATGAAAACCGGCGTCTTCAGCGGAAAGCAAGGCCGCAGCACAACTCAGATAGCTCGGCCTTCTGCGAGGGGTTCGCGAGTGTGCGCCTTGGGTCGAGAATCCGAGTGCAGGGGGCTTAACTTCAAATTTCCGAAAACCCGAGCGCCGCGATCCCTCTGGGCCCCAAGCTCGCCATCGGCCCCAGGAGCTGGGAAAACGGAGTGGCGGGCGATGGTGGATGGTCAAGGTCAGTGGGGGTCTGCATTGGGTCTGTTGGGGCAGAAAAAAAAATAGACAATCTGCAGGTGGCCACATGTTTGTGTGGAGCTGTTTCTATCTTAGTTTTTTGGTGGTCGCACCGAGGTCGATACTGAAACTCCCAGCTCCCGTACACTCCCAGCACAAAGCCATCCCCGAAACCTGAAAGCCTCCACATGCCAATCCCACCGAGAAGCGGGACCGTGCAAAGCTCCAAGGTATCAGGGGTCCTTTTGGTCATTAGGGCTCCAGATGCGAGGGTGCCCTGTGTCCTGAAACTCCGCTCAAAATATGGGCCTGGGTATGCGACGGCCGCCGGGCCTCGTCCTGCACTTTCGAAGGGCAAGGCATGAGGGGCTTGGGTTCAAGGCTTTCGGATTTCCAGCGGAAGAGATTCAGACTCCCGTGAGTTCCTTACCGAGCCCGAATGGTCCGGCCCAAATTCGCAAAGTCCTTGTGGGATCTGAGGAAGTGCCGCACCGCCTCCACCAGGTGGTGCCTGCACTAATCCAGCTGCGGCATGGCCAAGTGCTCTGTTCTGCCCATGGGCTCCGAATGGCTCTCTTGCGGCCAGCGCCTCGCCGCCAGGGGGACTGGCACCCGGCGGAGCCTTTGCAAAGATGCCGGTTCCCCCAGACCCAAAGCGAACAGAAAGCAACTCTCACGGAGCCATTCTGAGACCCTTGAGCACACAGTCTTGGATCTGCACAGTCGACGAGGGCATGGGCGGGGAAGCCTGAGAGGACAGAAAAAGCCACAAATTCAAAGCAACGGCCCCGGCCCTGGCAAGGGCATGAGCCCATTGCTGGTCCTTCCTCGTGCTCAAAAGCGGAAGGCAGGATCTGGCTACACAGATTCAAGCCGTACCACTCGGCCACCCTCATGAGAGCATTGTGGAAGTTCTTCCCTGTGCAGTTCTACCCTGCCCCTTTCCCCGTAAATCAGATGCAAACTCCAGGAGCCAACACGAGTCCAAACCTCAAGAAGTCCTTCAAACTGCCCGAGGCTCTCGCACTTCCATCTTGCGACATGCTGCCACCTTCAGGACTAGTGCAAAATCCTCTACTAAAAGGCCCACAGATCGTGCTTTCGAAGGCAAAGCGCCGACCCACTTCAAGAGCCTCTGCCGTGGAAACTGCTGTCGAGGGCCACCTTCAGCACAGACTGGGTGAAGCGCTCAGGACCGTGTTGCACATGCAGCGCGGCTCCTACGTAAGCCGGATGCTTTACTCGACCCAACTCCACCCCGGCGCCTCCTGCTCGGCCAGCTGCACGTATTCCCGCCGCGAGAGGAAGCGCTTCTCGTCGTCCGGACCACTCTGCGGACAGTGGGTGTTTCTGCGGTTTGCGAAACAGAAGCACTTCAAGAAGCTGTGAAGCCTTGATTCTTGAGCGACGGAGCTGAAGCTTTCACCAACAAAACCACGGCACGCCTTCACCTTGCCAAGCTGCTCCAAAGTTACACCCGGGACCACCACCTGCAAGGCTGCGAGGTGACGAAACCACGCTTTCAACAAGTGAAAGCTGGTGCCATCGTCTCGAGGATCGGCGGCTGCCCGTGCTGCAGCTTGGAAAAGCCGTCGGTGAACTCTGGCGAAGCCTTATCTCCATAGTGCTGGTTTAGGAATCAAGAGCAGAAAGCTTGAGGCTCTGCATCGCTTCTAAACCGTCGAACATCACTTAGCAGGAGTACTGGGTCAGATCGAAGAGCGAGGTGCGAAGCCTCCTCTACCCAGAACTTGGATCCAAAACCGAACAAAGTTTCAGACACCTTTCCAACGCCCAGTCTGCACTCAGCCAACCGCATCTGTTTTCTTTGCACCTCGTCCTCCACGATGCCTGCCGAGATGCAAGCCCACAGAACAAGGCAGCTCTTCAACATAGAAGATAGCCGTTGCCAACTGTACTTCGCCTAGACAACGAGCGTCAACTGCAACGGCAACCAAACGTGAGTTTGACTTCTCAATCGTCTGAAAGTTCCTTCAGTCCTTCCCATCAACATCTCTGTCTCCCTTCCACGCTTCAAGCAGGTGCACGCAGATGCCAATTGATGCTCCCATGGTTTGCCCCACTCGCCATCAACAGACGAACAGGGCCAGGAATATGGAAGCAGCGTGGCACAAGGAGCCAAACTCAACTTGCCCACGGTCGGTCTAGGACGCCACCAACACGGATTTACACCACGAAGACACGGTGCCCTTGTTATGGTGGGCTGCTGAGAA